AATGGGATAGAGTCAGTATGATTGTCTGAAACTGCAGCTTGGTGTGCCGGAAGTCTTCAGGATGTGCGTGTGTGGTCGGGTGGGTTAAACTGTATGACCTAGTCACTTTCCCTCAAGCCAAAAGATTCCTTCAAAACCCATCAATGCTTCCCAGAGCTCTGGGCAGAGTGTGTGTGTGGAAAGGCATTCACAGATGGATGAATCACAGATCACAGGAATGTTCAGACATGCCGGTGCCTCCAGCAGCCAAGCTCGTGTCTTCCACCTGGATGTACAGTTATCAAACACTTGTTGGCCCATATCTGTTCCTTTCAACGGTGCTGTTGATTCCATTTCTACACACAGCCCCACACAGGATGGCTTAGTGATTTAAGCTTTGCCTCCGACACACTCACATTTTTAAGAGCACCACTGACTTATAACCCAGCAGGAGCAGCAGGGCCTTCTAGCCTTCCCTGCTGTAGTAGGAGAGCTGGGATGCAAGGAATTTAGCGTGGGAGTCTTCATACAAAGTTATTGAAACCACAAGTCTGCATGGTCTGTATAAACACGGAGCTGGGATTCCAGTTGTGCCTTCAGCCAAAATTATCCCCTTCTCCTGCTGTTGTGTAGCATGCCGGCTGCTACTCTCCACCCCAGAAGCAGCTGCATCTCCACTATATTGAAACCACATGTAGTCAGTAAAACACTTGCATCCCTCCAGCACAAAGACTGCAATAGAGAAGCATGGTCCTGTGACCAAAGCACTAACCTCAGAACCACCAGGGATTGAATCCTTGCCTAGGTTACCAACCTGTAGAGTTGCTTTATCTCTTTGTGCATCTTAATTTCAACATCCGTAAAATGGAGCCAATAATGCTGTCTTATCTTGGTGGGTGGTTATGAAAATTAATTCATTAATGTTAGCCAAGAGTGTTGAGATTCTAAGGGAGAAGATGCTCTCTTTTCCAAAGATAGCATGTTGCCATTAATTTATAATGATTTATTGGCCATGTGACCTGCTCTGTCTCCTTTACACTGGTTTTCTTTGCATGTATTTTTTGTTTTCCTATCCAGGTGACTCACCAAGGATTGCACAGAAATCATATTGACACTCTCTGCCATGAGGCGGTGCCTGGGTTTCCAAAGGGGACGATAGTAACTCAACCAGAAATGGACATGCTCCAACAGCTATACAGGACTATGGTGTACATGAACCAGTCATTTCAGGTTATCAGGGAGCATCAGCAGGATCTGAATGAACCAGATGCCATACTGCTTCAAGAGCTCCGACATGCTCACCTGGCCGTGAGAGGGCTCTTGTCCAATATTGTCTGTGCTTTTTGTGTCCAGGGGGCCTCCCCCAGTCCTGTCACCATCCCAGAGAGGCCTACAGTGACAAAAGCTTTCCAGCAGAAGATAGAAGGATGCAAAGTGCTCTGGAACTATGCTAGGTTTATGGAGAGACTGACTAAGAGTCTTAGGGAAAACAGAAAGCAGGTACAGAGAACCAAAATGGGAAGGCGGCAAGGCAAAAAGAAAAAAGCATCCCCAGGTTGCTGACTGAGCCAAGCTGGTGACACAGACTGCCCCAGACTGCTGTTGCCCAGGCCCAGTGACAGGAATGTCTAACTTCTTTGATCCTGAGAAGCACCAGGACCAAGCTAAGCCCAGGTACAACAGGCCTGTCTGTCATCTCCTTCTCTGGGCAGCCATGTCACATCCTACTTCCCCAGATATGTGAGCTAAGGCAAACAGCCCCAAGGAGCTGGATTTTCAAAAGTACTCAGCACCCAGGAGGAACCATGCTCCTCAGTGCAGGGGTGAACCTCAGTCTTGTTCACCATGACTGGTGTGAGAGTCTCCAGAAGTCCTCCCTGGGTATAAAGAAGATGCTCTGTTGTTTTTTGGGATCTGCTAACCTTATACCCTACCAATACCTCTCTGCAGGACTTCGGCCCAGTTAGACTTTAGGCCCAGTTCAGTTTCTTCTGTGATGGGCATAGTGAATGTCTTGGAGTTATATTTTTCATGCTGGTGCCAATGAGAAGAGGGGCAGGTTTAGCATCTGCTTAGTTATTCCCAGCAGGTCAGCGCCTGTCCAGCCTCCCAGCATAAAAAGCCATTATTTCTGTGGCCAGTCAGAGCAACCTATTATCCATGGTCGAGTCAAGTCATTTATTTCTGGTACTGTTGAACAGCTACTGTGTTTCATTGTTACAAACAAGAGGAACAGCCTGAATCATGGCTGGCTGCAATAATCATCTGACAAATCAGGGACTCTTTCCATTGTTTATCCAAACATAAGCCATAGAGATAGCTGGACCTTGTATTAGCAGTTACAGCTGTACAAAGCAAGTACAGGTTGCTATTGAGAATGATAATACTTTGCCCCTAAGTTTGTGTAAGTATAAATAATGATGCAAGATGCAGGGCGGGGGGAACCAGACCTCCAGTCACATGCTCCTGTGGAGATAATTCTGTTGGGATCAGCAGCAGTTCAATTTATTGAAAAAAAAATACTATTAATTTCTAATCACTGAATCAGGTATCAAATGCAAATTGTCATTACTCATTGGTTTATAAGACATGACCCTTTTTTTGGGTTCTTGACTATCTCTCTCCACTAGAAGGTTCATATAACACATGCACACGCGCGCACGCACACACCTATCACAAGGGAAAGACTATCAGGCAGTCTGGAGCAAAACGTCCATAATGTGGGGAACTAAACGCACCCAAAACTTTATGACCTTTGAATTTCAAGATTTGTTGCTGCCTATATTTTTTATATTGACCTCAAACAATGTTCAGTGTCTTTTTCATTGTGTAGCTATATCATACAGGTTAGGAAGAGAGCAGTTTTGTGGTGTGAGGTCCTTTCTGCGCTCCTGAATTAATTCCCCTTGAAATGGAGCTCACACATTGACTGAAATTTTCTTTGCACTGAATCATCATTAAAAACAGGTCAGGTTCGGGGAAAGAGGCCCTGGTGGAAGTGTTGTTGACATAAGCCAAACTGTCTTTCTCCTTTCCAAAAATTCTGTGCAGTTTTGCAGAGATAATTCATTGCTACAAGGTTTGGGATGTTTGCTGTAGAACAGACTAGATTCAGAAAGAGCCTGTAGAGTCAATGTTGAAGACCTGCTTGGGTGTTTCAACCCAAGTTCAATTCAGTGAGCCCAGAGAGATGATTCTGTACTTAGTACAGTTGTTCAATACTTAGTACAATGTGGTGTAACAAAATGCAACAGAAACAAAATGATGACAGCTTCCACTTAGTTTGGGTTGGCATCAGCACAGTCACAAGTTACTGGCCAATAGAGAATCTGGTCTGAGGTCCAGAAACCTAAATTGTACATGAGGTGATGAGTTTATGTAAAATCACCCGCAGCACAAGGCCGAGAGTTGGGCAAGTAGTCTTGCTAATTCAGTCTCAAAACTTTGGCTTCCTTGGAGTAAGTCCTGTTTTGCTCCAATATAGAACAACTGGATTCTGGGAGGCACATTTATATTGCTCACTTGCACGGCACAGATCAGAGCATGAGGTTATTTAGGGCTGGCAGCAGTGACTGTCCAAATTGAACTTGTTTTTATAACCAGCTTGATTTTCCAGTGATTCAAAGGTCCAGTGACCCAGCCTGACTAAGTCACTGTGTCGCAGGGGTGAGTGTCTCTCTAGCTAGAATCCAGCGACAACCAGCACATGATCTTAGCAGATGGTTACTCTCTGCCTGCCCTTTGTTGTTCTTTCCTGCAAGGTTTTTATAGTTCACAACCAAAGGACCAGATCTTCTACTTCTAGTTGCTCTGATTTCATAGATTTTGATAGTCACAGGGTGCATCTACATGTGCAATTAATTTGAAGCAATAAATTCTGGAGCAGTTTGAGTCAGAGTAAACTACTCCCAGGCATAGCATCTACATGTGCACCTGGGACAGCAGCAATTTGAACAAAGATAGAGCAGTTTACGCCAGGGCTGGGAGCACAGGGGCAGCCCCAGATGGCAGTGGCGGGCGGTGGGCAGCAGAGGAGCTGGCTGGGGCATCAGGATGCTGAAAATGCAGAGTTGTGTGGCTAGGTGGCAGGCAGGAGTCTGGTCCCTTGCTGCCTGGGCTGGTTTATGCCCATGGTCAGTGTCTACACTTGGTTTAATCACAGTTAATTACCCTGCAGTAAGATAGTAGTGTCCCAAACATTACTATTTTACAGAGGCATTAATTAGTTTACTGTGGCCTAATACTGTTGCACATATAGACAGTGACACTTTACTCCACAGCTAATTAGTCTACTCCATAGTTAAGTGCCTGTGTAGACATGGCCACAGTGGTTAATACCAGCCAAGTGTGTGGCCTGGTCTTTTACACTGCCATCAAGATTACTTGAGCAGAGTTTAAACTCATCGCTATTATCTGGGAGCGGTATCTGCTGCTGGTGCTGTGTTGCTGTCTTATGGTATTATCACATGATACCTGCACAGGGTAGGATGACACTGACTCCAACTTAATGATCTCTGACCTGTAACAACCATCACACCATGGTTTAAACTAATTTATAGAGCAATATTTGTACAGTTTCTGTATTTATTAGATGAAGTGATTTAATTTAAAATATCTCTGCACTGGCATATCTATTTAAAACTGATATTTTAATATATATGTATATTTGTCTATGTTTTTAATATGTTAAAATGTGTGTAAGCATATTTTATTTATGGATTGAAATATTTTTCTATTGTGGGCAAGACCTACTATGCATTTATTTCCAGGAGGTGTAAATCATACCCATTTATTTTTGTATAACAAGATTTTTGATTAAGTAAAGTAATGGCTGTCTCAAATAGTTGTCTGCTCAGCTTAGTTGGTGAGGAAGTAGCTAAAAATATGGGAAGGGTCAGCACCCCATCTAATTCACTTCTGCCTTTTGGCTAGCAGGGATTCACCTGGAAAGGCTGTGGACACATCCAGATGAACACACACATGCGGGTCGCAACACCTCAAACCTGTTTGAGGTGCTGCAACCCACATGCGGTGCCACATTGTATGTCACAGTGTAACTGTGTGCCGCACTGCAAATTTGATACCAGGAACTCTTGGTATTAAAAAAAAATGTAGCAAGAAAAAGTATCATGACACATGGTCCAGGAGCATGTGCCAAAGCAACTGGAAGCTGGATCCTCCAGGTAGATGCTGTGTATGCTGGCCAGAGCATCTCCCCTCCTTTAGGACCACTCAGGTTCCTCCAGCCTGGTAGGAGCCAGGAGAAGCAGAAAACAGGTAGTTTGCCCAAAGCAATGCATTTTGCCATGCACTGCAGGGGCATGTGCAGCAGCCAATAGTAGTGGCATAAATTTGTGCTGCTACTTTTTGTGCCACTGCAAGTGCATGCCCTTGTGTGTGGGGACACGGCCTGTGAGTCTAATATTGGGTGCTGCACACTTAAAGTGATACAGAAAGAGACTTGTAAAAGCACCTAATCTCTGAAAGTCAAGCTGGGTGTCTTCCCTCTAGTGTAACGTCGGCATGTCATAATAGTTTCACAGGACCATTTCTGCCCACACTGTTAACGGGTTTCTTGCCGACCTGTAAGCAATGGGAAATTAGCAAGCAGTTTTGTTGGTAATGCATGAGCAGGAAGAGAACCCAGTTCCTTTTCTTCTGCAGTGGAGGAAACCCAGATAAAACCTTCCCTTAGTCACTGAAGTCAGCAGACACAATTTAAAGTGCACCGGGCAGATCTCTTGTGTGAGCAGGGGGATTTTTTTACATATATATTTTTCAGAGTAGATCAATACTTCCAGTTTCTGAGGTACACACCTTCAAGCTTATCTCTGGACAACCTGTTCTATATCCAGCCACCCCTGAACAATGAAACACTACAAAATCTGGCTGTCATGAAGAACTTGTTTCTTTCCTGCTAGAGTAGTCTCCTGTTGAAGTCAATGGGAGATTTGCCTGAACAGATGGTCCATCCATGCTAAGTGTTTTTCTTAGGTGTTCCCCATAATCATAGCTTGCCATCCCCTAATGAAAAAACAGTTCCATGGATGCCAGGTTGGCCTGAGTGCATTTCACAGAATTGGAAATTCACTTCTAATTCCCCTGTTTTCCTAACTTGTGTAATCATTCATCTTTCCTGTTAGGGAAGGAAGTGGCCATTGTTGAGAAATACAGCATAGCAGAGATAACGGCTGGAGCTACTTGGGAATGTAGGAATTGCCAGAGTGGCTTGAACAAGTGATCCATCCTGTCTGTGGCACTGGCTATTAGTAGATGCTTCAGGAAAAAGTCATACATTCCCTACAATGTTCAAAGGGAAAGCTTCCTCCTAGTCCTAGTGTTTGAAGACTGGGTTATCCTCTGCAACATAAATGTTTCCAAGTTTTTTGGTTTGGGAGAGGGAAAAATAACAGAAACACAGCATTTACTCAACTAAATCAGAACCCTGGTTTGCTTTGGCAGCTAGAGATATATGGTAAGCCGCAAAAGCTGTTAGTTATTCTAGACAAGGGGGTTTGGCCTGCATCTCTGGTACCTCCTTCTGAAAGAGTACAACTTTGGCGGATATTTCTACAAAACTGAGGATCTTTCCAGCTAACTGGCTTTCTCACATGCCTCTAGTAACGAGACAACTCTACTACTAGCAGAGAGGAGAATTAAGGTACAAATACATGGCATGATTAGTATGGAGTATTTTACCCCATATTTTACTGTGTAGTAAATTCACTGTAGTGAGGAGTGGACACATTACCAGCTCTCAAGCTAGCTGCCTGAAGCAGATGATATTACAGAGCCTGGCTAGTAGATGGGAGGGAATTAGTTTGCATTGAGCAAAGAACTACCCACAGGATGAATCTGCCTAAGAGACCTGTGATGGACCTTGTGGAAAGGGCAAAAGGCTTGCTGATTGGTGTTGTCCAGGCTGGAGAACCAGACACCAGCCTACACCTCTCACATAGATACCTTCCCATAAGGTAAAGTTATTGCACATTTTTCAAGGAATAACTTTACGCTGGATTTAAGTGATCTGCTCTGTACCTGCATCTCCCTGAATCTTGTATCTCCCTGCTCAGCATTCCTAGCTATGAGGCCTCCTATGGCCTGAGGGTCCAATCCTGGTTTTCCCAGACTTGATAAAGAAAAGTATATAAGATCAGAGTAGCCAAAAAGCCTAAGGGTTGAAGCAGTCCCCATTGTGCAGATACCTGTTATAGCTCTGCAAATTGTCACCTTTGGCTGTTTTAGAAGGCAATGGAGAAGAGGCCACGTGCTAGCTGGGGCAGTTGGTGATAGCTCTCTTAGAAGAAGCTTGTCTTTTACTGTTACTTACAATACGCTGCATTATAGTTTGTGGACTCTGGCTATCTGACTTGTTGATCAAGGTACCAAACAACACACCTAGGATAAGGAGACTTGGGTTCCAATATCCACTAGAGTTGGAGTAAGGACTTGAACCCACAGCCCAAGGAGGGTCCCTAAATCCAGGTTGCAGGGTGTTCTGGGTTAGGTTACTGTCAGCCTCTTCTGTTACAGATGTTCCACTTTATTTAAATAATTAGTTATATATTGG